TTGGAGAGCAGTGATTTCAGCACAGTATGTCCTAAATTTAGCCTGTTTATATATCCATGACTTAGCTTTGCTTATGGTTTCGGGGTCTAAAGTTGATGGCAGTGGACATTTGGCGCGTATTATTTTAGTGTATAGCATAAAGGTCACGGCTCTATACAGGCGTCTTCAATCAGAAAAGTATTCCACTGCAAAATCAAAATGCTTTAGTTTGTTTATAATGAAGACATGCTTACGTAGCTCCGTCGTTTCGCCACTATCGAGAATAATGTCTTGTTCTGGCTTGGCTAGAAACTGGGGTCCTTTTAAACAGCGATTAGCGTTAGGAGATTTGATAAACTTTGTGGCTGAGTCTGCAACATTTTCCTTTGTGGAAATCCAGCGCCATTGAGTTCGGCTTGTGTTATTTATTATCCCCCCAACTCTATGCATGACAACGGCTTGAAATTTTCGAGGGTCCATATCCAGCCACTGCAATACTGTTTTTGAGTCTGAACAGTATGTGCTTGAGTTGATGTTGAGCCTTCTAATATTAATAAGTTTTTTGGCTAAGTTCACTCCCATTACTGCTGCCAGGAGCTAAATGCGTGGTATTGAGACTGGCTTTAGCGGGGCGACCTTACATTTAGCTGCTACTAGGACTGTGTCGATATCGGCTCCCTGCTTGATACGAAGATAAGCAACTGCTGCGTAGGCGTACATCTACAAAAGTGTGCAAATCAATTTGTTCAGCATTCGGCAGCAGAGTTGAGTAGAAGCGAGGAAATTCCAATTTAGCAGCTTGAAGAAGGTCAGTTTTCCATTGTCGCCATGATGCGAGTAAAGTGTCGTAGCATTTTAAGACCGATTGTGTAGCATAATAGCAGGCGGATCGAAAATGGACATCAGAACCTGTAGGGCTTCTCTTTTTGTTGGTACAGTTTCTCCGTTTAGTACGTCTCTTTTAAGTCTCGCAAATCTGAAAGTATACATTAAAACGTCGTTCGAGGGTTCTCAATACATACCGAGAACCTTCTCGGGGTCACCAAGCTCTTTGGGGTTCTGTTCGTCTATTTGGCGCTCTCCAAAATGTTTTAGGATGGCGGTAGAGTTTGAGATCCAATTTCTAATGGTGAAGCCTCCCTCAACATGCATGTCACGGACTTTTGTTGTTACTGCGATCGCCTCAGAGTCGTCGGTATAGCGTCCACATAATGAGCCTCTGTTATGGACTCGAAAGATCGGGGACACTGATGCGTTTTTGTCACGTACATAATGAGCAATGCAGGGCGCGCAGCAGATACCAAATGTCATTGCACGCATGACGAATATACGTGGAGTTTTGTTATCCTTATGAAGCCACAAAAATCGTTAAACATGCATGTCGCTCTGCTGGATGATAATTTGGTGGAACATCTCAGCGATGTCCGCGTACACGCCTATACGGCCCACTCTGAATGCGGGTTTAAATAATTCGGTCCATTCAGCATAAAGTCATTGAGGGATTTGCCGTGGCTCTTTGCAGCTGCATCCCAAACTAGTCTGATTTTATTTGGCTTGTTTGGATTTAGTGCAATGAATATAGGGAGGTGTCCTCAGCTATATCTGCGGGTTGCAATTTGATCGCGTAATTTTTTACGACTGAGTTGTCAATTTGATTTTGAATTTTGTTAAAAAGTTATGGATTTTTTTTTTTAATTTTTAGTCTAAGGCATTCGAGGCGGTTGAATAGCTTTCTGGGAGAATTAAATTCTTGTCTTGCCAGAGCAAGCCATTTTGATATCTACCGTTTACTTTCTTGCATGTTTCCTCCAGAATTCCTTTAGCCTTTTCGTCGTCTTTGGAGAAGAGCTCTCGCGGTGCGATAGGATCTGCGTTGAAGCTTTCTCTTACTGCCTTTTCGATGTCGTTCCAGTTGCAAACGCAGTGATGGAAGGAATAATTCCTGTTGGCGTTGCTTGTGCCTTGAATACTCCATCCGAGAGTACATTTTGAGGCGATGGGCTCGTTGCGTCTTCCCTCACGAATTTTGCGAGGAACAGCCAAGGTACAATTGTTAGCGCCAATTAGTAGCATCGATTCAGCATTATAATATGATTTTATTGGCAATCCGTGTAAGTGGTTATATCTGCCGACGAGTTTATTTACATCGACAGTTTGCTTTGGTAACGCAAGGTGCTTGACCAAGTGTACGTTGTTAAGCCACTGTTTTCTTCCACTCCCCCATCTCCGATATTTGCATTCGGGCCTTGAAAGACGTTTCCTCTCTACGGGTGGTGTTGCTGGTCCACTGCAAACAGAGTGGTTCGGGTGATGTGTAAACTTTGAGGAGTTTTAGAATTCCTTCGTCGATTAATGTCACAGATGAGCCCTCATCCAGGAACGCATACGTGTTGATCCTTACTCCGTTCCCATATAGTGTCACTGGCAAAATTCGATGATGGCATCTTGTTGCTGATCGTCTTCGGAGTCACTCATTGCTTGGTTCTTTTCTCCGGCTGATGCTTGTGTATGAGTATTTACGCTCCATGAGTTTTGTCCAGGCATGACTGTGGAGGCGGCTTCTGGTAGATGATATATCCAGTCGCTAAATGACTTAACAACAGGGATGTAGAGACTGCGCGGATGTAAGGCCCAACTTAAGGGGATATATACCTTTTTTGTTTTCAAAAAAACGAAACATTTTTTTCCTAAAGTATATCCCCTAAAGAACATTTTCCCAAATTTTCATAGAGATCCGAATAATAGTTCGATAGGAAAACAGCGTTTTGAGGCGCGACTTCAATAGTTGCATATACTCAACGTAAAACTTTGAATGCGATTATCTCAAAGTCGTGTTTTTCCAAAAGTGCCTTTGCTGTGACCGCGATTGCACAAGAACCATTTGATCGATCTTCATTTTTTTTTAAATTATTCGTAATGATTGTGCCGAGTTCGTGAACGATTCAGTTTCTATGCGCCAATTTTGATTTTGCAGATCAGAATTTTTTAATAAAATTTTTAGAACTCGAAAAATTAACTTTTTGGAAAAATCGTTACTGTATGCAGAAAAAACAAAATATTCTTGAAAATAATCGTTTACGAACTGGAAATAATACTATACTAATAAACATTTTTTGGTTTTTTTTATTTCGGTTGACCTGCTGGACTTCCATCGTGGTCACCGCAAGCCGCTATAAAAAAAAGGTTCCGAGAGAATTGCCATAACTTCGTAAATTATTTATATTTTTTCAAGAACAAACGCTTGTTGTTTCGACAAAAACATGTACTATCAATAAATAATAACTTCAGTGTCATAAAATAATTGCTACACACCTGAAAAAAAATCGAAAGTTCCCTCAATTTTTTCGCTCAAAAAGGTATATAACCCCTTAATTATGTTGAATGGGCAACTTGTATACAAGCTCGCGCAGCAGCATTGGACCGCCATTGCAAAGTTTATGAGAGACTCTAGTCTGTCTCAGTGTACACTTATTTGGCGACTTTTATCGATCAGACGGTCAAGGATCTGCTCCGGTCGCCCAAAGGTTTTTAGGGTGTTGATTACCTCTGGGACCAGTGCCGGCAGTAACAGCTTGTCTCGTACCAATTCATAAGCCTTTCCTTTGAGAGACTTCTGGAGACGAAGCATGTTTTCTGCGTCCGAAAATCCGGCTACCGAGCTGCTGTTCTCGTCGTACATGATAATGAAGATTGGCCAATCTGCTGGGTTGCCATTGAAAGTTGGCAGGTCCGCCGGTAGGATTTGCCTTGCTGGTAGTTGAGTTGCAGTTGGTCCAAATAATTGGATGGGCCTTTCCTACATCCCCTGCTGCTGTGCCAGTATGGCGTATTTCTGCTCGATATATTTCCTTCCAGCATCGCCATCATTAAGTTGTTTGAGGTTTGAGTAAATAATGTTTCAGCCGGCTTATTCGAGTTGGGTTCTATTGTCAATGTGGCGGCATCTTTGTTTGGTGCGGCTTTTTCCGATTCGTGTATCTGTACAGCGGCGGGTTTCGATGTTGAGGACGAACGGTCGACATGTATGCACGAGTCGCACGTCCATCGTACCCGCGCAATAGAGTTGTCTACTCCAGCGCCAGCGAAGTAGTACCATTCCTTGAAAGCGTCTATAAAGCGATTATAAAGTTTTTTTAAGAAATGAGAGCACGGATGATTGGCGTATGGTTATCAATTTTTTATTAATTGTTTATTAATCGGCTTAAGATTCGGTTTCTAATTTACGGCGGCAACAGTGGGCGTTTCCCATTTGTTACAAATAGTGACGTTATAATACGGGGGTGCTGGTTCTTCGTGGGCCATGAATCCGAAGCCTATTAATATGGCTCTTCAACCCACCACTGAAAATCTGGCACTGAAAGACATTGGCACCACCCTGCCGTGGTTAGACTGCCCCTTGGGTAACGAAATGCGATCGCGATATCCTTGTCGGTTTTAATGCTGATCCCCTTCCATACGTTGCTGAGCTCAGCAGCGGCCATCGTCGTTGAGCCCATCATTTATCATCCGAGCGCAGTAGTTCATCTTCCTCTATTTCTGTTATAGAATGGTGTGAAGCAGATTGTGTTGTTTGCCATGTTCATAAACGAGGGTTTTGGGGATATGAAGAAGGTCGACTGTACCTAAGAGTAAGGATTGGGAGTCATAGGATTTCGAGTATGAGAGCCACGGGAAATGCCGCTCCCATTGGCTGTATTGGATGCCATTTCCGAGGAGTGTATCTGACTGACATTCACATACGAGTCGACTTGATGCAACTGTAAAGCCAACTGTGAAGAAAAGACTATGCTGATCTTGCCTTAGTATGGTACACCCTTACCATCCCCCTTATGGTGTTAAGTCAAACTAGAACAATTTTTTTTCTAGAGCTTGTTTGTAAAAAAAGTGTCATGTATCAATAATTGCTATATATGTACGTAATATAAACCAAAAACTTGTTAAAATATATATTTATAATAGTTTTGACCACCAACGAATACACTTCATTTAAGCCAATAATTCAAATTTTATTTGTATTTAAGGTCGGCCGATGACACACTAACCAACCAAAGGGTAGCAATAAAAAAAATTTCGCCGTTTGAACATCAGACATATTGTCAAAGAACTCTGAGAGAGATAACTATTTTGACAAGATTTAAGCATGAAAATGTAATGTTATTATAAACATCTAATTTAATATTGAAAACTTAAACTTCATAAATTTATAGATTATTGATATTCGTGACATCCTGAGAGTAGATAGCATAGAACAGATGAGAGATGTTTATATAGTACAGTGCTTGATGGAGACTGATTTGTATAAACTACTCAAAACACAGGTAAGTGCCTCATTATGAAAATTAAAATATAAATATGGTTTTTGTAAGTTTAATAAAAAAATATATATTTCCAAAGCAAAGAACAACAAAGGTTAATAAAGTATGTATATTTAAAGTGTAAATATTTAAAGTATGTATATTTAAAGTATGTATATTTATTTCCTTTTTAATTGCCGTCAATTTAAGGGGGTCTTCTCATTGGGCAACTTTTTTTTTTCGATTTTTTTTTTTTTGCATTTATTTATAGCTTGGGATGGTGTGTATATGTCCCCAAAAGGATTTTTAGAAATTCGAAATACTTTAGAAGATACAGCCTTATTTGTGAAGCAAGTTCTTCGCAAAATGAGCTTTTTTCAAACTTCAAACGCGTTTATCTCGAAACCGCGTTTTTCGAACTGGCGGCCATGATATCTCCAGTTCAACTCAACCGATTTTCATGAAACAAAGTGGAGTCGACGCAGAATTGTCACCATTCTCGGGTGACGGAACAGATTTTTTAAAAAATTTTTTTTCTATTTTTTTTTTTACATTAAACTACAAAAAAAAAGCCCGAAATCGAAATTTTTTTTTAAATGGCCGCCATTTTGTTTAAAAAAATTTAAAAAAAAATCTGTTCCGTCACCCGAAAATGACATCAATTCTGATTATAACCCCGTTTTTATTTTTCATTTCGGACGCTCTGGAGACCCTGAATCGTGTCCGCCAGGACGACACCTTTTTTTCGACCACCATGTTTGAAGTCTCATTACTCTTTGAACAACCCTCGTATCGAGGCAAGAACAACTTTTTTAGTTACTTTGAACATTTTTGAATTCAATAAATAAAAAAAGTTTTCAATTATTCTTTGCGTTTTCAAATAAGAATTTTTTTAAAAAGGGTCCAAAAAACGGCTTTTGAATGAGAAGACCCCCTTAACACAAAATTGTTCAATTTTTACACAAGCGCGAGTTGAATTATTTTAGCGATGTGAGACACCAACTATCGAAGGCACAATCGATGGTGGTTGGGTCACTATCGAACGTGTCTAACACTATCGATTGCGGCTCGATAGCAGCCAACCATCTATAGTTTCGATAGCGCCATCGATAGTTCTCCACCTCTAGCTCTCTGCGAGGGCTGGGTTGCTCATACAAGACTATGGTGTTGGGATTTATTTTTGTCCCGGAAGTCGCTGTATGACATCACGAACCGCTAGGGAACCGTCTGGCCGAAAGCCAGAGAAGCCAGTCTGTTACTAGATCAGGGAACCTGAGGAACTGCCCGAAAGTAAAAGCCGTCACCCTGGAGGCACTTCGCAGGAAGAGGGAACACTCAGTGAACCGCTATGGATATTAGTTAAGGGGGTCTTCTCATTCAAAAGCCGTTTTTTGGACCCTTTTTAAAAAAATTCTTATTTGAAAACGCAAAGAATAATTTAAAACTTTTTTTATTTATTGTATTCAAAAATGTTCAAAGTAACTAAAAAAGTTGTTCTTGCCTCGATACGAGGGTTGTTTAAAGAGTAATGAGACTTCAAACTTGGTGGTCGAAAAAAAGGTGTCGTCCTGGCGGCCACGATTCAGGGTCTCCAGAGCGTCCGAAATGAAAAATAAAAACGGGGTTATAATCAGAATTTATGTCATTTTCGGGTGACGGAACAGATTTTTTTAAAATTTTTTTAAACAAATGGCGGCCATTCAAAAAAAAAATTTCAATTTCGGGCTTTTTTTTTGTAGTTTAGTGTAAAAAAAAAATAGAAAAAAAAATTTAACAAAAAATCTGTTCCGTCACCCGAGAATGGTGACAATTCTGCGTCTTTGTTTCATGAAAATCGGTTCAGTTGAACTGGAGATATCATAGCCGCCAGTTCGAAAAACGTGGTTTCGAGATAAACGCGTTTGAAGTTTGAAAAAAGCTCATTTTGCGAAGAACTTGCTTCACAAAAAAGGCTGTATCTTCTAAAGTAATTCGAATTTCTAAAAATCCTTTTGGACACATATACATATATCCCAAGCTATAAATAAATGAAAAAAAAAAAATCGAAAAAAAAAGTTGCCCAATGAGAAGACCCCCTTAAAGAAGATAAGTTTATTTATTTATTGTACACTATACGCAAAAGTTGCAAATTTAAGCTACAGGACTTTCGGTCGAAAGATATAATATTTGGAGAGGTTTTTACAAATGTACTAACAAATTATACAATATAGATATTTATAGATTGACAAACCGTTTTTTTTGGCTGACTTAAGAAAGCTTATAATTAGATGGATATTTGCAAAACTAGGGTTAGTTAATGGTTTATTCTGGTTAGTTAAAAAAAATCATTTTTTTTTTTTCATTTTTCGATAGCTTTAAGCAAGCAGCTACAATGCATACATTTAAACGCGATTGCTGGAAAACTACATTTTTTGAGCTGGCCACCGTCATATCTCTGTCAATTTCTTAACGAATCTTAATAATTGTTTTTTGTTAAATACGCGTAATTGAATTGTCCATGGAATATGCTACAATTACATAGATAGCTTATACATTGGATTTTTTATCAACAAAAAAAGGGAAGAAAATTTTCAGAAAAACGACAAAAAAATTTTGAAGCGCCGTTTTTTTATTTTTTGTTAAATTTCGATGAAAGTGGCCTATTCCATAATCACATTCATACTAAATAAGAATATTTTAGAATTTTTTATTTTAGACGATTTTTACGACCTGTAGAAGAGTCGGCAGAGGAGTACCTTTTTCGAGCACCTACGTCACCCTGTGTCCTGCTTCAGGATATGCTTCAAAAGGTTTGAAATTTTTACAAAATCATCTTTTAACTATCAGAAATATACGTGAAAAGTTTGAAGCACCTATGTTTTTTGTTTGTCCAAATAAGTTCCTGAAGATTGCCTGTTTTATGACACAACTAACCAGAATGGACCCTTAAGAGATCAGTAAGTTTAATAGTTGGTAAATTTAATCTGTCTGTTTTTAGAGCGGGACAGTCGGTGAGGATATGGGGGATCGATAAGTTCTCCTTGGTGCAGAACTGGCACTGGTAGTTTGGAGGTTGAGTAAACCTATGTTCCTGGGTCAGCATCGTGTGGCTAAGCCGAAGGCGGATTATTTTTATGATTTCTCTTCTTGCTGGGTTATAGGTTTGTGGAGTTTTTGTGTAGTCAGCTAAGCATATGCATTCTGGGTTAATCCTTTGGTGCCATTGCGATGTTTTTTGCATTAAATTTGGTTTATTATTGAGGGTGTGTGTTTTTATTTGATTGTTTATGTCTCCACGGTTAAAATTAGTTATTGTGATCAATGGAGCGATGGTGGCTCCTTTCGATGCTGCATCGGCATTTTCGTTGCGTTTGATTCCAATGTGGCTGGGGACCCTTAGGAGCTCGATTTTATTTTTGTATTTTAAAAGAAGGTCACATATGTGTGGTTTATGTTTAAAAGTGCTTCCAGTGTGGATAGGGAATCCGAGCAGATGCAGAATTTCCCTCTTAGCTTTACTGCTGTTTTGATGGCTTCCAGAATAGCAATCGCATCTGGTGTATATACCAAGGAAGGACGGCTTGTTTGATTATTTCATTTATGTGGTTAACGCAAAGACAATTATTTCCTTACTAAAGGATCCATATGCGCACAGAAGTCTGAAGTGATTGCTCATAAGTTGTTGTCTAATTTCCAGAAATTGTTTTACAAATATATCATTGTTTGTGCTGGATTTTTTTAGTCGGCTTAGTCGGGTATCTATCTGATTGGTATTCAGAACCCCCTGGTTGGTTTAGGTTTCTGAAGAGGAAAGGTAGGAAGTTCGTGCCTTAGTCCAAGAGTAACGCAATGATTAACTGTCGATGATCTGTATTTTTTGGTTTTATTTTTCTTTATCCGGTTATTAATTTGTTTCAAAAGGGTGTCGTTAGCGTGAATGATAGTGTTGATTGTTTGCTGGCTTTGCGATGCGGTCGTACACGCTAAGTGTCTTGACTAAACGGTCCGTATCAGATGTAATTTCCGCAAACAGTGGTTTACGTTACTGTTGCCATGCCTGTCGGGAGGTTGAGAAGGAAATATCCTTTATGGGCCAGACCACAAATGGAATTTTCGCAAAGCGAATGACCACAGGGAAAAAAAAGGGACGGACCACCGGCTGAAGTTGGTAATGCTGCGTTACCAAAGACCCTCACCGCTGTTCCACTACTGAAAACCATATTTGTTTCTCGGCTTGCTCCTGACCTCGCTTTGAAAGATGTACCAGCTTATACTGAGCAAAAAACAAGCCAAAAATATGAAAGTAGAAAAATTCAATTTTTCATACCCCAGAGACGTCTCATAGTTTAAGATAAGTGCCTCCCTCGATCTTTTTGACACAATTTGTTCTGGTGTGGGAGTAAAACCATCAAGGCCGTGACAAACCACGCCCGCGGGTGTCACGGCAGTGCCAAAAAACTAAATACCTTCCTCTTACTTTCCTATCAGAATACTAGACGCTTACGCAGCAAACTCTCGAAATTGTATTCTGATAGTTTTTCGTTTGCATTCCAGGTGATTTTGGAGCGATGTGGAGTTTTAATTGACGTTGCCTCCAATCTTATTTCCGAACTGGTTCAAATTGACGATCACACAGGTATTGAATTTATCTGTGTAAAACTAACATTTCCAGGTAGTTTTATCTACAGCTGTGTTCACTGAAATAGCAGTGCCCCACGACCTGCACGTTTAAGATTGGAAAATACTATTACAAACACTATTTTCATAAAAATTTTTTTCATAAAGGCTTAGTGTATTTAATTATTAACAATACCACAATCATTTAATTTAGGTAACATAAACCTTTTAGAAGATATAGCTAATAACAACAAAAAAGGTCTATATTATGCCGATCATTGAAATAGCAGTGAAAAACTAAAATTCTTCATAAATTTAAAAATATCGTATAAGAAACCTATTTCTTCTTAAATTCTAATTGACTATGATCTAATATTTTGTTAAATAGCCTTTAGAAGCTATCATAGCCTCATTCCTGGGTGGCAAGG